ACCGCATGGGTACTATTGTACTTTTACCTTTTTATTTTTTTAGTTGCTATTGCCCTAGTATATATAATAAATAGCTGGCACCACCAGCATGCTTTTGACTCTCAAATATTTCTTCTCTCTTCTGCTCTCTCTCCTCTTTCTTCCTCTATTCTTTTCTCCTTCATCACTGCACTGATAACAACTAACATTTTCCCCCTGAAGAAAAGGACGAGAGTAGGAGAAGAAGGGAGTAGACTCAAAGAATGTGATATCTTTGGACACGTACCTTTTTCCAGAGCAAGGGTCATAACAACGGTACCCTTTTTGAATTGAAGAATATCCCAAGAAGACACACTTGATAGACTTTAGGTCAAATTTCAACTTAGGACTCATGTCATGGACGAAGCAAACACACCCAAAGACCTTAGGAGGAAGGTGGAAGGTATCCTCATCAGGAAAAAGAAGCTAATGAGGAAACTAGAGATGAAGGACCCGTGAAGGAAATCTGTTAATAAGATGTATAGTTCCAAAACCGAGTTGGAACATGCATTTGGAATAACAATCCCCTAGCAACTTCAATCACATGTCTTGTTTTCCTCTTTGATACCTTATTTTGTTGGGGGTATGAGAACAAGAGCTTTGGTGAATTGCTCCTTTATCTTCAAGGAAATCTTGTAAGTGCTTTTGAAAGTATTCTTTGGCATTGTCAGATCTGATAATCTTAGTCTTCTTTTCAAATTGTGTCTCCACCATACTGAAAAAGCCTTTTATAATCAAAGGAACTTCATCTTGGCTCTTCATCAAATACAACTAGTTATACTGCGAGTAGTCATCAACAAAGAGAATGAAATATTTATAACCACCCATACATGGAATAGAATAAGGTCCCCAAACATCAGTATGTATTAAATGAAAAGCAATATTACTTCTCTTGTTACTTACAAAATATGTGGTTCTGCATTGCTTTGAGTTGAAGACTTCATACTATAGGCCAGAATTAGACAAGGACTTAAATAGACTAGGAAACAAAAACTTCAATGAACCAAAAGACACATACCCAAGATAGTAATTCCATAATTTCAATTAACCTCTTTTCTCGTCACGATAGGACTCAAATTGACACATTAACCCTAACTTTGGAGATAGATTAAGAAGATAAATTCCATCGGCATCATGTCCACTGCCAATCGTCTTCCTTATACTCAAATCTTGAAAGGCACAATAAGATGAAAAGAAGGTTATAGAACAATTATGAGACTTTGTAAGTGAGCTAACAAATAAGAGATTTATATGCAGTTGTGGGATATGGAGAATAGATTTTAGAGAAAGGTTTAGTAAGTTTAACTTCACCTAAACCCTAGATTGGGGTCTGAGATCCATTGGCAACCAGGGATGGAAATTTTGCAGGAATTTTCGGGTATCTGACCCGTCCCGACCCTAACAGGACCCGTTTATCAAAACCCTATAGGGTTTGGGACGGGTTTGGGACGGGTTTGGGTTTTGACTTTAGGGTATCCGATACCCGATACTTGAGATGCATAAATATAAACCTATTATATTATATATCATGCACAAACTTATAAATTTTAAGTACTAAGATAATTATTCTATTATTAGTATTTTATTTGTATAAATTTCTTGGGATTAAATCATCATTTGATGTAAATTTTGATTTGATAGATTGTTTATTTCATTTAGTTATAAAATGCTAATTTTAAATAGTATTTCTTTTAATTTTTTAGTTGGAATTTTTAATCATATATATGTATTGATTGTTTTAATGAACACAAACGTTAATAACATCTATTTTATTTCATTAAATAACACAAAAGGTGAGATGGCTTAGTGGCTTAAATTAGTGCTAAGAGATTTGGTGCTATCATTAAGTGATCTAGGTTCAAGTCACACTATAAGCATTAAAAACTTTTCTTAGTAGAAAATAATTGGTCAAGGGATTTAACGGGTGGGGCGGGTCAGGACGGGTTTGGGAAATTGAGAGGAAAAGTTAGACGGGTTTGAAACCAGGGATACATAAGCGGGTTTAGGAATAAGTAGGGCAATCTGCACGGGTACCCTACCTGTTGCCATTCCTATGAGCAACGGTAATTTTACCTTTCCTTGGAAAAAGTTTATAAGTGGTAAAGTAGGAAGGCAAACTGGTCATATGATCATTGGCTCCTGTGTTAATTATCCAAGAGCTAAATGATGAGGCATGCCATGCAAGTGCAGTACCTGATTTTACAAAGGCACTAGAAGGTCTATGTGAACCAATAGATGTAGGCAACCCGTTCTTTTCAAAATGGAGTAAGATGCCTCTCAATTTTTCCATCACATCAGAGGTGTCATGAATAGATGCTTGAGTAGAAGAATTTACCTCAAGCATGTGAGTATGAGAATCATGACTAGTTGTAGCAACATGAGTATTTACCTTCTTTCTAGTTTTAAACTTTTCAGGTTTTAGGCGGGGATTTAGTTTCCAACACCTATCCTTGGTGCGCTTTGGCTTCTTGCAATATTTACAAACTACCTCTTCAGGTTTTACCAGAACTCTGTTTGGTTTTTGTGGACACAAGAGTTGTGTGCACATTGACAGGAACTTGCATTATAGCAGTCCTCTTACTCTCTTCATTTTGCACCAGAGAATATACTATGGAGAGTGACAAAATATCAACACTAATGATGTGTCACCTAGTGAAGTCATAATCAGCATTCAGTCTAGCAAGAAAATCAAAAACTCAGTTTTTCTCAATGCACTTCTTATATTGTTCAACATCAAAAGGATCCTTCCACTCCAAAGCTTCTAAATGATCCGTTTCTTCCTAAACTAATTGTAAGGAAGAGAAATACATGGCCACTGATTTCTACCCCTATTCTTCACTTGAGAATAAGTTGAAGTTAACCTATCCCAAAGGTCCTTAGCTGTTGGAATGAACAGGCGATGTGAGGCTACATAGAACATATAAGCCATGACATAACCAACAAATTATCCTGGTCCTATTTGGAATAATTTGGATTTTCAGGCTTTTGCTTAGCTTCCTTGCTAGTAATAAACCCAACCTTACCTCTTCCTTTGATTGTAAGCTTAGCTAATTGAGACCATTCAAGAAAATTTGTTCCATCAAGTTTTACAATAGTAGTCTACCTTCCAACATTGTTGTTACTTCCCAGGAAGACATAGGTAGGTATGTGCACAACACTAGCTAAACACCCAAACACCTTTCCCTTAAGGTTAAACATGGGCTACAACAATAAAACAAGGGAAAAAGGTGCGGGTAGCAAAATAAGGGAAGAAAAAATTCCCAAAAAAGTTTTAGGGCTCCAAAAAATCTGAGACTACTTCCTGTAGTCTCAAAAATTTACCACAATTCAAACACAAGTTGATTTAACAGAAACCAACTCACCATGCGAGCATGCAAGCCCTAAACTCCAAATCTGGATTTTTCGCCAATTTTCATCTAAAAAATCCAAGAAAAATGTAAAACAACTTCAAACCTCCATGAAAGCTATATTAAAATTCCTATAAAAACGAGGCGTGTCAATATCAAAAACACAAATGGACGCTGCTGACTGTACGGGCTACTGACGTTAACAAGTTTGTCTATGAGTCATGACCAACAATTGATGCTCTCATTGATCTTTCGATGCTCTAATACCAAGTTAAAGTATTCAGAAAGAAGAAGAAGAAGAAGAAAATTACAAATGGGCCCTTGAATAGGCACCCTTGAATTACAAATTGGCCCTTGAATAGGTGCCCAAATAAAAAATACATGAAAGGACATAAATGCCCTTACACTTTCAGCACTATCAATGTATATCATGATCATTCCACTTTATACCATTATTAGGATGTCTCCCTAAAATCAAAATATAAAGTCATACATGGCAATTTCTACCCTAACTAGTGGGTACCCACTCTACCTTTCCCGGTAGTGTGTTTTTTTTTTTTWTTGGCTTGAATGATAGATTTTGGGCTACAATGGGTYTTGGGATTCTACAACCCGTGTAAGTATGGAGTGGGATTCTAAACCCAACCCTCCCCGACCTACATATTGTTGGAAAGCATATAAACTTTATGTATTAGGTTTTGAATTTTATGTGAAGGATAATTAAAATAATTGAGAAATTTGTTGATTGTTTGTGTTATTTTACTTATTTATTGCTTATATATAACAATAAATAATAAGACATTAGATGTGAATTCTAACCCAACCTGCCCCCTATCCTTGAATGTGGAGAGGGTAAAGTCAGAGAGGGTTTTGCATTTTGATGTGCCAGAAGGGTTTGGGTTATCAAAATGTTTTCATGGATCAAATAACTAGTAAATTATACCAAATTACTTGCACTCTTGTGATTACAACCCAATATAACCTTTTTTTTTTCAGCAAAGCTCAGTTTGGAATGAGTACAAATACAAATATGTAGAGCRCAAAACCTTATATTTTGTATTATTTTGTATGTATTTGCATAGTACATATTTGTATTTGTACTCCTTCCAAATGGAGCCTAAAAAACAAAGCCCCAACCTGAGTAGAATGACCGCTTACACCTTGACATTAACAAATGCATGCGGTATATACTCAGTTATGGATAGGAAAGGCCACAACTCCCATAGTCTTCAGCAATCAGCAGTAACGGTAGTTGACTTCACAGTTCACACCACACACAAAAAAAAAAAAGGAAAAAAACAAACTAGAATGATAATAGTAATATGCAAACAATTACTAGAGAAATTCTTTCCAAACTAGATCTGGTAAAGGATCAACCATTTAAACAAAGGTGAAAACACAATGGAAGTGCAGAACCTATCTATCTATAAAAGACCATGCGCAGCACGCCAGAACTCAAAAAATGATCTATTGCAAATTTTAGGGGCTAAAATAGCTAGGGATAAATCAAAAAAGACATCGGTTTAAGTAATAAAAAATTACTTAAACACAATTTAACGATGGGTATGGCATTTAAACAGAATGGAATCGCCAACCAAAATTCATGTAGCACCCATTAAGGAAAGAGCTACCTCGTATGTCTAACTATCCGATCTATCACATTTGATTATATAAAATTTGATACAATGAATCATCTAATGAATTGTTTGTGTACATTGGAGAACCCCAAGTTAGACCATCCATTAGCAGGCACATGCATCACATATGCATCGCAATATCACTATGGTAAAATAAATGAAAGTTTGCACCAACATTTTGTCTTCTGACAACTGGGTTAATTTTAATCAGGCACATACAGCAGCTTCCACTAAATGTCCCCTCCTAGTTTGGATAAATTTTTGACAGAACAGCTCAAACTTGCCTTCCTTGATGGCTTCTCTTATCAACCGGAAGAAGCCCAGATAATGGTGAGTGTTGTGACTGCAACAAATAAAGCTTGTATCTCTGAGAGACACCAAAGAGTAGGGGTGCAGGGGGTGCTCAACAAAAACCGGAAAAAAAAAAAACAAATCAAACCGAGGAAACCAAACCGAAAAATCCAGTTAACTGAACTGATTAGTTCAATTTCGGTTAGCCTAAAAGAAAAATCAACAAATGTATATGCATTATATATAAATATATATTATATTTATAATACTTATATATATTTGCAGTATTTGTAATATAATATACATATTTATAATATATTATATGTTTATAATATATTATATATTTACAATATATATTTATATTGTAAATATAAAAAACCGAGAAACCAAAGAACTGAACCAGTCAAAAACCAAACAATCAACCAGTTAATCGATTGGTTTCGGTTCACGATTATCCAAAAACTGATGATACCGGTTCAGTTTCAAAAAAGAGCCCATGGAGCACCCTATCAAAGAGTACAGATAAAGAAATTAAAAAGAAGAAAATGGCAATAGAACCATTACATCTCTAGAAGAATTTGTGCAAGCATTTCATGAACATTCAGCAGGTGATTGATGTATGCTCTTGTGTGATTTTGGCATGTGTAACAGCTACAGCCATCGACAATGGGAGATGTATCCTTCCTGAGTAATAAAGGGAAAAAAACAAAAGGTTTAGATTGAAAAATTATAATCATCATGATAACAAATTAACAATGGCTTGCAATCTTGAAACAACTTCCCTTCGGGTGGTCATCACTAAACCTATGCCAAAATAGCCCTACCAGAATTTTACAACTGCTTAGGAAGTAAACAGAAGTAGATACAATCAATCACCTGTAAATTGTTGCTCGCAAGTTTATCTTTGCATTGTCACTACCTATTTTGCTTAGCTGGTAACTGGGGACATGTTCCTTACTTCTATCCATTTGGAATGTCAATGCAAAACCACCAAGCGTAAGATGGTAAATATACCTGTGATATTCACAATGATGTCAAGGCTAGTTAAAATCATGGTGAAGACAGAGAAAGTTTGACTACCAAAAAACAAAAAAAAAAAAAAGACCAGAAAGTTAAATCATAATATGGTGAACTGGGAAACATACGTAGAGTCAAAGAGATCAATACCAGCAGCAACACCCTGCAGGACCTCCTCTGTGAAATAAAATGTAATTTCATTTGCTGATGAAATATATCAAGCAAAATATAAATTAAATTTCCAGGAACAAATCATCCATGTGTAGATTATTTTATTTGTTAGAGGAGCTAAAGATTAAGGATTAATCTCTACAATTTTTTTTTTGTGATAATTAACAAGGTATGATTTCATTAATATAAACAAAAATGTACAATGTGGATTCAAAGGGGTAAAATCACCTCAAGAGTACGGATATTAAATTGAGTCCAATACATCTGCTCCCTATCAACCCCTTGCCTAGATAAAGCCCATTAACTTCCCTTGGAACCCATAGAAATGTTACTGTCATTTCCCACAATAACCATTTGATCTTCTTAACACCTTCTCAGTGGATCCAAACTGCCATTCCCCTTAATAAACAAGGTATCATTTTACAAGATTAATCTGTATAGAATTCAGGAGCATTATATGAAAATTCAGGCTTCCAATGGATACTAACTGATTACATAGTTTTCCATGCTTTATTTTTATTTTTATTTTTTGATCAATAACCACAGAATTCATTAATTAATGGAAGAAAGTTACAGGGAAGAGGAGCTAAAGATTCTTAACTCCCCAGAATAGAGATACATCTGATTTAAACACTCAGAACCCTACAATTGATCTCAAAACCCAGAATTTCCAAGAACTCCTTGCCTAGCCAATCCATAAGGAATTAGCACTTCTTTTAACCCAAGTACATAGGACTTCCATATCCTTAATCAACCACTTGAATTTTCTTTTCTCATTGCTGTAGCTCCACATCTTGGAAGTGTCTTCTTTCAGCCAATCCACAACAACCGCAGAGTCTCCTTCTATAATCAGTTTCTTAACTTTAACTTCTTTGGCCCTTTGCACCCCTTCCAACATTGCTAACACCTCAGCCCTCAAGGAGTCTCCCACTCCAATTAGACTAGAGAACAAAGCTATTACATTACCTCTCTCATCCCTTAGGACTCCCCCAATACCCGAAGGCCCTGGATTCCCCATGCTACTGCCATCAAAATTTAGTTTGTTAAAACCAGGAGGTGGAGGGTTCCACATGAAAATCAAAGTCTTCTTCCTTGAAACTGAGCTAGCAACATCTTTCCACTTTCTTAGCAAATCGTTTGTTGAAAAATCTGTAAACTCCTTCATAGTCTTCAGCCAGTGTATTACTCATATGAATCAACTCTACCATATTTTCCAAGCCTCTCTCCTTTTTCCGAGAAGATCCTTGCATTTCTTTCCTCCCATAATGTCCAACAAACAGCAGCTCTCACGCATCTCCACATAATTCTTGATCTTTTCGTTGAACATTCAAAAGGTGAAGAGGAAAACAAGCTTTGTAGACTAGTTGGAGGTGTCCACCTGCACCCAAAAAAAGAAGCAAACCAATCCCAAATATTTTTTGCCAAAACACAAGATATTAGTAAGTGGTACCCAGACTCACCAGCAGCTTTGCATAAAACACACTAGTGTGGAGATAAACATCTATTGCGTATTTTTCTTTGAAGTAGGTCACCTGTGTTGATGCCTTCAAGGAAAACTTCCCAACAAAAGCTCCCAACCYTCGGAGGTATAGGTTTACACYACACTTCCTTGATAGGGAATGACAGTCCAATAGGAATTTCTGGTTGTATCAGGGCTTTAAAGAAGGATGCACAAGTAAAGGATCCAGAGGGAGACAAAGACCAAATCCTACTATCTGTCTTTGTGGGTTCCAAGAAAATCCCATCAAGAATGGACAAAAGAGATGAAACATTATCCAGTTCTGTGTCCCTGAGTGCTTTTCTCAAACCCAAGTTCCAAGCAAACCCGGAATTTGAGTTTGAGGAAACGAGGAAATTGGAAATTAGTTCATTTTTTAGGGAGGTGATTGCAAATAGAGCCGGAAATTGTTCTTCCAAAGGGGTCTCCCCAACCCAAACATGTTCCCAGAATTTTATGAGATTACCCGAGTGTAAATCATACCTGATCCAAGGAGAGAAGAGAGGCAAAATATCTTGGATGGATTTCCATGGTGATGCTCTTGTAGCCATAACCAGAATCCCAGAATCCCAACCATTCTCTACAAGCCTGTGAATACTACAAATTATCTTTGTCCACAGGTTCTCCCTCTCCAAAGAAAACCTCCACAGCCATTTCCCTAGCAAAGCCAAATTCCTCTTCCTAATATTCCCAATGCCTAGCCCTCCATCCTGCTTATTCCTACACACCATTTCCCATCTCACCCTATGATCCTTTTTTTCCTCCCCTGGCTCCCAGAAAAAGTCCCTCATTAATTTTTCCAACTTGCTAGCCACCCCTGCAGGTACCTTAAAGGCTGAAAGGTAATAGATGGGCAGATTAGCTAGGGTAGACCTGATTAAAGTAATTCTTCCCCCAAGAGAGATGTAGTGTTTCTTCCAAGAAGCAAGTCTCTTTTCAAACCTCCACTACAGGAGTCCAAAAACTTCCTTTTTGAGGATTATCTCCTAGAGGAAGACCAAGGTAAATCAAAGGCTAGTTCGATACTCCACACCCCAAAATATTTGCACACTCAAGGATCTCACTTTCCCCCATATTCACACCTACAACACAACTTTTATCAAAATTAACTTTCAGATTGGACATTTGCTCAAATAGTTGTACTGTAAGTTTCACATTCCTAATCCAATTCATGTCCCCCCCTTACACAAAACAAAATTGTATCATCTGCAAACTACAAGTGTGTTGGTGGTATACTCTCCCTGCCAACTCTCCATCCCTTAATTAGCCCTCTAGAATCTGCCTTAGAGATTAAACTCCCTAAGACTTCAGCAATCAAGGTGAACAAAAAAGGAGAAAGTGGGTCTCCTTGTCTTATTCCCCTCAATGTTGGGAAGAAGTCTACCACCGTTCCATTCACCAAAATAGAGTAGTGGCAGGACCTCACACATCCCAACACCCATCTACACCATCTATCTCTGAACCCAAAATTAGTCATCACCTCCAACAAAAAGGACCAGTCTACCAAGTCATAAGCTTTTTCCAAATTTAGCTTACAGACCACCCCCTTCTTCTTAGATCTCTTGAAGTCCTCCACACTCTCATTTGCTATAGGAATTTGATCAGTGATTTGCCTGTCCCTCACAAAAGCTCCTTGATTATTTGAGATGATGGTATTGAGCACCTGTCTAATCCTAATGGACAACACCTTCGCAATGATCTTATATAGACTGTTCACTAGGTTACTAGGACTATAATCCCTTGGATGTATTGCCTCTCTCTTCTTGGGAACTAAAGCAATAAAAGTGGAGTTTAACCCCGGGTTAATCACTCATCTTCTGTGGAACTCTTCAAAGACCACCATTAGCTCTTCCCTCAAAACCATCTGGGCCAGGAGCCTTTGATCTATCCATAGAGAATACTGCCTCCTTAACCTTCTCCACCTCAAATTTTCTCTCCAACCTCTCCCTATCTTCTGATCTCATCCTTGGCCATTCCATCCCCTCAATCCATACCCTATTACTTAAGGGTTTCCTGTATATAGACCTAAAGTGGTTAGTAAACTCCATAGCAATCTCCCCCTGATCAAATAAGGTTATCCCCTCTATTTCCAAGTTTGAAATAAAATTCTTCCTTCTTCTCCCACTTGCCAAACAATGAAAAAATTTTGTATTCCTATCTCCCTCCTTCAACCACCTACACCTTGACTTTTGTTTCCAACTGATTTCCTCCTTAAACAATTCATCCTCCAGTTGTTTCTGCAGATTCCACCTTTGTTCTTTGTCCTCCAGTGTTAAATCACCCCTCCCCTCCTTCCCATCCAATCCAATTGATCAATTACCATTTGCTTTTTTTTTCTTCCAACCTCCCAAATTCTAATTTGTTCCATTCCTTGATTTTACCCTTCAATAGTTGTAATTTCTTATGGAAACCTCATTCCTTTCCATTCTACTACCAGGTCACTCTCTAACCACCACTCCTTGATTTTATTAATAAAACCTAGGTGAAGTAGCCACATATTCTCAAATCTAAATAGGGCAGGCCCTGTGCTTCCCATCTCTTCTGCACCAATCATGATGGGCCAATGGTCTGAAGTTACTCTTGGAAGTGCTCTAGAAGCCAAGCTACCCCAATGTTCCTCCCAATCCACTAAAAGAAGAAACATATCCAACTTAGAGCAAATGGGATTCACTTGTAAATTGGACCAAGTGTAACTACTGCGGGCCAATGGAATCTCTTTAAGTTCAAAGCTTTCCACAAAAAGATTAAATTTCCTCATGCTCGTGGTCACCCTCTGTCTAGGCTTATTTGTTTCTTCCGAAAACCTAATTACATTGAAATCGCTTCCTAAGCACCATGGTCCATCCCACAATCCCCTTACATCCCCCAATTCTTCCCATAGATTCCTCCTCTCTCTATAATCATTAGGTCCATAGACATTTGTTAACACCCATTCAAAGCCATCCTCCACCTGCTTAAATTTCAACAAAACTGAGAATTGGCCTATTAATTCCTCCATTGCTATACACACCTCACTCTTTCATAAAGTTATTATTCCCCCAGCAGATCCCCATGAAGGTGCAGTAGCCTAACTAACCCCCCCAGCTCTCCAAATACTCCTTGCCCACCTAGCATCAATTCTACTCTCTTGGACTCCTGAATCATAATTATATCCGGTTTAGCCTTTTTTATTGCCTCTTTAATTACTGCCCTCTTCCTAGCACTACCCAACCCTCTAACATTCCAGCTGACAGTGTTCATTTTACTAACTTATTCTTTTCCCTTCAAACCCATAGCCCCATTACTTTAACCCCTTCCTTCTATCCCCCTTGATACCAGCATTCTTATCCCCTCCAAAATGTCTCATCAATCTTTCAACCTCATTCAGTTTTCTCTTCCTCACCTTACCCCCCTCCTTCTTTTGCAGAAAAAATTTGAGATCATTWGGGTCTTTTAATTTGCACCCCAGTTTCCCCACAAAGGCTGTCATTTGAGATCATTTGGGTCTTTAGTTTTCCATGCTTTAGAAGATGAGATAAAAAGAAGACAAATCAACACTTGAAGATCAAAACAACTATAATCAAGAAGCATGTACTTATAAGTTTGGCAGATTTATGGGGAAATAATCATGATGCACGGTATGGCATGAAGCAAAGGTGAAACACTTGAAGAACTTTATTAATTGAATCCAATTCTTATGATTTGAGGAGGTGATGAAAACTAACGTTTCATGGGTCTTCTTGGAGAGGTAAAACGGAATATGTACATATAACACAAGCATCCCCTGGAGACTGGAGAGGTAAAACTACTACCTCTCTAATCAAATATGCATCAAAGTACAGTTGAGCCCAATACAATTGACTCTTATTGACCCCCTGTTTGGTTAACGTATCAGTCAATCCATTTTCCGACCTTTGCTCCCATTGACATTTATACCTTTATAAGCATATTTCTCATTAGTCACTTGAACTTCTTTATTTCATCATTATAAGACCATATTACATTCAATAATGGCCTTTAATACCATACTACTGTCTCAATTTCCTTAACCAAATCAATCACTGCTCTAGAGACACCTTCAATAATCAGTTTGTCCAAATTCATGTCTTTTGCCTGTTTCAGTCCTTGTAGAATAGAATAGATCTACTTTTGAGACACTTGATGCCAATTAAGGAATGCCTTTTAAATTAAGACAAATAATGGAAAGAAGTTAACAAAGTCTTGGTTTTTAATTATCAAAAAAAAGTCTTGGTTTTTAGCTCAATGAGAAATTTCATGCACAACACCTGTCTCTGTAGCATTCAAAATGTAGCACTCAAAGAAGGATTTAATATTTAGTTAAAAAGAGAATAGGAAACAACATTGCTACCTGGAAGTCCAATCCCACAAATTTGGCGAGGCTTTTCCTCTGGCAAGACATCCTAAATATTGGAGGCAGAATTAGCCTTCTGAATCATCAATTGAAGTATATACCAAAAAAAAAACATATCATCAATCGAAGTAACCATTTTCCTATTAAAAGTATAGAAAGAATCATGCATAGATGAACAACCAGATGCATTTTGAATTTGACTTCTTTCCAGTATCACCATGTCACCATTTTTTCGGTTCAATACTTGTATCTAGTTAGATTTAAATTTGACTTCTTTCCAATATAATGGAATTGGAATCTATTTATACATTAATCCCAGAGACTGCAGTTAAACGTAGCTCTACACCATTTGGGTTACACATGTTCTGATGTCTATTCACCATTTACTAGGTCATTTTTTATTTGTTTTTGATTCTTACAGAATATAACTACTGCCTACATATTTTTATGAACAACAAGCATATGCGTGTGTGTTAAATTGAATCTTAGAGAGAAAAAGTTAAGTGTGTATATGCATGTTGGGGGGGTGGGGGAGAGGAAAGAAGATATATTGTTAAAATCAGCATGTGGTTTATTTTTCATGTATGAACTGCCTGTGTACATTCATAAAGCATGGTTATGAAGTAATTTACATTCTGTAAATGTTTAATGCAATGATTCGGGTTTGGTTCCTGTTTGGACATGTCTTCTTCAGCATGTACTTTCCAAAAGGGAAAATAGGGTATGTTAAAAGGACCATCCTTGTACAGTAATTATTGTTGTTAGTATTGAATAATTAATATATAGGTAAATTACTTATACCTCCCCTACTTTTGGTCAATTACTTGTATACCAATCCTTGTGTTTACCTAACTTGTAAATAGGTATATTACCAAACTGTCCTTAATAATAAAATATTAATTCTGCCTCCAAAATATATATTTTAAAATTAACAAAAGTATCCTTTTATAAACACTAAATATAATATTTTATATTACATAAATTTTATACAAATATTATTTGTTATGTATTATATATTTTATATTTAAAATTATAGGCCCAGAACCAGGCGCAGCCAGGCCCTGACCCAGGCTCTAGCCCTTATAATAGGTGCTAAGCCAGGCTTGGCCTAGCCCATGATCACCCCTAGAAGAAAGGGAGAACAAGGACACACAGGTACAAGATTGGTTTGGGAATTGAAAACCATAGAGAATCATATGTTGTTCTCTATTCTTTTTCATGGTAAAAAATGGACTTATCTTTTTTTTTTGGATCAATAACAGAAATTTTATTAAAAGAGATATAGAGATTACAACCAGAAGGGAGGGGTAAAAAGTCTTAACCCTCCCTAACAAAACTGAAAACACATGTTACAATATAGCCCAAAAAAGATTTGTTCTTCCCCCCTAAAAAATGGACTTATCTTATGGGCCATAGGCTAAAGGCTGAACCACATAAATACTTGTCTTCTCCTGTGCTCTTCTTTTTTTCTTTTTCTTTTCTTTTTTGGCTATAGTTCTTTGTGGTTCTTTGTAGGGATAACATTTGAAGCCAACAGATCCCCAATGGTTCCATGACAAGATACAATCTGTTACTAAGAAGAAGCTAGGACATCCTATACCGTAGATAAGGATATTTTTTTACCAATGAAATAGTGTTTCAACCATCACACTCCTAAAGAAGTTGGAACGGCAGAATTAGTTGAAAGGTTCCCATTTTTTGTGAAATATTTAAGCATCAGAAACTAGCTTTGACTCTTCATAAAAGGGTTCTCAGTAGCATTGAGGTTGTGGATAAGTCTTGGAACAATAAGATGGCTGGTGGATCAGAGCTTTGCTTTCAGGTTTTATTGATCAAGTTATTATCCACTGGAGCCTTGTTGGATTTTCATCAAGTTTTCTTCTAGGAACCTCCTCAATCCTCTTGATTACAAAAGACTCTTGAGACTGCTATTGTCTTTGAATCCCTTTGTGGGATTTACAAGATCGGTTTCAAATGTATCCTTAGGTTGCATTACTTCCTAATTTCCCCCTATTATTACTCAAGGAAAGTAATATATAAGAATTATTTTTTTAGAATAAGATAACACAATTAATATCAGAATGTTCCCAAGTTTTGAGGGTAGTTTCTTACAGTAACTGCATTAAGGAGAGCAGGCCGCTCATCCATACTCTCTCCAAGCCCAAAGCCACCAATCCAGTATCCTGCATCAAACATTTCCCCAACAATATCATCAAACCTAGAAACCAAAATGCATTGCGAACTTGAATTCAGTAACCCATGCATACAAAACCTTAGTGCTTTTCAGGAAGGTGCTTATCTAACAATTTTACTTCAGTGAGCTGGAAGGTGACATGTTGCTCAATAAAAGAAGGGTTAAAACTGAAACTTAAGAAAGCCTGCATGAATGGAATTTCCTTCATGCTTAAGCAAATGTTCAGTTGCAATTGACCAAAGTAGATTATGGATGAAATGGAAATGGTAAGAACACCATTTAGATGGATGCAAGACATCCAACTAAGGCTCTTTCTAATTACTTGATAATCTTGTACATTGTAATGCTGAATTCAATAACCTTGCTATGTTGGACAGGTTTATCCATGGAGACAGATGGTCCGTTGTTCCAGTTAGCCCCAGCTTACTCAAGACTGGGAGTAGGTGGTGCTGATAAGAAGTGATGTGAAAAACCAGGTAATGGACACTTTACTTCCCATTATTGTATTTATATTCTTCAATATGTAAGGGAATTAATGTCAAACAACAAGTAATATTATTATTATGATTATTATGATAATGATAATAATCTTTCATAGCTATGAGGTTGTCTTCCTTCTTTAAATCTTTCTCTTTATTTTATCCTCTGCAAAACCTCAAATAAACTTCTATTGATGCTTTCCCCAATGAATGAGTTCAACATAATGTCTGCCTAGGTGTAGTCTAAGGATAAGGATCTTACTTGAGTCCAGATAGTCTAATTTTTAGGAAATTCTACAAGGGCACAACAAACTTCTTGTTAGAGTCGACAGTCCAGGGGTGTTTGAGTCATTTCATAGTGCTTTACTTAAAGGTGTTTTGTCTATTATGTCTGAAGTTAAGTAGAGTGTCCCCTACATAAAAAGGGGCACAAAGGTCATTGTACTTAATGTTACAAACCTATATATATATTAGTTCTGGTTGACTGAGAGAGTGACTTTTCTCTTAGAGACCATCCAAACCATCTCTTCTTCTTCCCTTCTTCTCTTTTTCCTTTTATTCCAGGAAGGAAATCAGGTCTGATTGATCTTCTATCATGGTATCAGAACCCTGATTTTTTTTTTGGAGAAAGTAAGGTAAATAATTTTATTGAAGAGGGATAAAAAAGATACAACAATTTCCGGGCATCTCACACCCAAAAAGAAGACATGTTACAGACTCCAGATGGACTGAGTGCAAAGCAAATGAAAAAGATTCCGAGACTAACTCAGAGTTAACTGACAGCCTAGAAGCAAGCTTAGACACTGCAGCCTGAATTAATTCCTCCAGACTTCTCACTTTGATGTAAAAAATCCTGTTGTTTCTTTCAGTCCATAAAGTTACTAAAACAGCCACAGGAATGTTTCTCCAGATCAGAATACCCTTTTTCTACAGATCTGGCAAATTCCAGCAGCACAAGAGATCCTTAATTGAACCATGCATAACCCAGAAAACCCCAGCTGCTATAAGAAAGTGCTCCCAAACTCTTACGGAGATCGAACAGTGGATGCCAGGTGATCAACTGTCTCTGGCAAGAGTCCACATAAGCCACAGCTAAGGTCTGAAAGCTGAACTCCTCTCCTAACCAAGTTAGCTATCGACAGGCACATATTTAGAGCCATCACCCAAACCAAAAAACTATGCTTAGGTGGACTGACAGAATTCCACACCTGCTTGCTTGGAAAATCAGAATTATTTGCTCTACTCAACTTTGA